CATCCAAAAAAAAAACGAGGGCATCAAAGTTCATTTGTCCGTAACTTGCAATGTCACGCAAACGCACTTTATGCTCACCAGTTTCACGATGGTCTCCATGAAGACGGTTCTAAGGCTGAGTACGTAGAGTAGGCTGCCTTGTTGTTTCCTGATTTCGGCAGGATTAGTGCAATCGTCGAAATGCACAATTGGAATTCGATGGATTCGATTTAAGCAGATCAGCTTTGCGGCATCCCAAACGCTAAAAAATAAGTATTTTCTCCATTATACAGTAATCCTTAATCCCAAAATCACTATCCATAAGATGCAACGGATTGTGATGGTAAACAACCCATAGCACTCGCCTGGAGTGCATGTGGATAACCAGCACATTGATTTTCATTCTGTGTGGTCTAATGAATGCTATTCTGGGTGGTCTGCTGCCCTGCCTAGTTGTTTTCCCTCTATTTCCACGGCCATCGATGCAACGGACAGTCAACACACACGCACATACACACGGAGGGGTAAACTCACACACATACACACACTTACTCGTGCTCCCTGCAACATAACATTCAGCAGGAATGCGTGATGGGCATATCTATGCTGTTGATTGTCAATGTGCAAAATCGAAAATAACTACTCGCACACTTGATCTTCTCGGTAATTCTCATCTCTCTAAGGCATTTCAATGGAGGGAATGGGTGGACACTTTGAAATGTAGACAGAAAATTTGAACAGTGAGAGTGAGAGATGCGCTAAGGGACGCTCTTAAAAGGAGATTCAAGCGCAAATTTCTAATTAGAATTGAAGTGCATTCAAGTCACTTCGAGATTTAGCCTAATTGCTAGAATGTCCGCAAGCTAAAGGTGAGAAAAAAAAATAGAAACACATAAAAGTCATTAAAATCACTTTCGAATGAGTTTTGAGGGCAACACCATTGAAAACTAATTACTAATGTGACAGCATTAATTCTCACGCGTCTCGCAGATGTACATACATAGATGGGCTAATTCTAGCGTCTAATTTTTTCAAAATATTTCTCCTATTCTCTCCCACGCCTATAAAGTGGATATATTTAAAATAACTTCTCCAAACAAATTATGGCAGATAATCAGCTACATTTCCATAGAGAATGTACCGCAGGGTTCGAAACGTTATTCAGTAATTTAATCAGTGTTGACAAGAAGCTCCATTCTTATTAAAAACTAGGGATTGAGAAGATGTCAACTAAAATGTGATAAAAAGTTGAAAACCTCGACTTTGGTGAATACTAACTATCTTCTTTGATATTTGCCAATTTAGAAACTTTTAGGTGAGACATAATTTAGTTTAAAAAAATAAAGATTTGAAATGGTAAATTTAGTAAATAAAACAATGCTTTTTTTCTCTAAAGTTTGTATCACGTCAGCTACCAAAATATTGCAAAACTAAAAATGGAAAAGACTAATGTTAGTAACTCGCAAACATTCCACAAATACCTATTTTGCCAATATTTCTATACTAGCTGTGGGATGGAAATGCTAATCCTACGCACAACGCAGAAACATGCCCTTTTCCCAGCTCACCCTTCATTGTTGTCAGTCTAGATTAGATTTTATGAATTACCCACTAGAGCGAAATCAGCTGACATCTTATCGATTAAAGCTGATACAGTGGAAAACATCTCCTGGATGACTGGCGAATTACCTCGTATTCACGTCGGCCGTCACCAGCTGTTTCCGATTGTTTGATTTTAAAAACTGAGCAACCGTTTGTTCAGCCACTTTTTGTACACCTTCTGAAGCAAGAACAATGGCTTTGAGGCAATCAGTCACCGTCAGGATTCCGAGACCTCCTAAATTTGTACGATAATACATTCCTCAACACTCTCTACACATTATCAGTAGGCTGGTTACCTTTGACATCCAAGTTGGATACGACAGCAACTTGATGACCACACTGGCTTAAAGCCGTTAAAGCTTTGTGGATCTGAAATCGGAAACAAACTTTGAATAAAGCTCACAAGGAAGATTTTCAAAAACTGTTTCGTCACCAAAAAAAGTATGAATTCTTGAAAAAACATTGGCTTTAGCTAGGAAAATTGCAGCAAATTCATCCAACATTATGGTGTTGACAACAAAGATTATTTCAGTTATACTAAGGATACCGCTAAAATGGCATTTAGCAAGCATCTGATAAAACTATGGTAATTTTTTGACCCTCCGGTATGCAAGATGAAAAAAAAATAACTTCACCTTTAGGTCTCCGTCGATAACAACGACGGCACCATGAGTGGGCTGGAGGTCGTAGCAGGTTAGAGATTGCATATAATGACGATAAGGATCAGTATAACGATCTAAAATAAATTAAAAAATAAAATAGCTGATGAGATAGGTACATAATTTGTATAGGGAAAAAATTTGAGTCCAGTTCGATCATTTCGATCATATTTAATCTCCCGCCTCCCATCTATCACGTGACACTCAAAATGTTAAAATATGCGAAAAAGAGCGGACATATATATGATGAATATTGACAGGCAGCGCTGGAGACAATAAAAAATAACTCTAGAATTTTCAGAAAGATAGTTTCAACTTTAGGAAAAAAAGTGGTGGTGGCTGCAAAGTTTTTATGCATTGATAAAACCAACCGAACGCAGCAACAATTTCGAACTTCACATCGGCTTCGGCTGACGGTCGCAGAATGGCGTAGTCCTGGATAAACGAACGTTGCTCGTATAAATATTGTTTAAGTATGCATGGTACTCACGGCACTAAGGAATACTTTTTCTGGTACACTCATCCGTCGTTGGTAAAGAGGCCTCGGTGAAAGGTCATCATCTAGATCATCTGGCATATCACAAAAGTTCGAATCTGAACTACTCGTTTTCCTGGAGGCATCGCATGTGGACGGTATAGGTACCGTTACCCGATTCGGCTAAAAGGAGCACTTTCAAAGGATTATGAGGATTATCAATAGGTTAGAGAGTGTGCCTACTTTACTCATCATACTGAAACGTCGACTCTTTACATATTCTTTGAATCCGATCGAATTTCTTCTGGATGATTCAACACTTGCATGGGGAGAATCATAGCCACTTTCGCTATTACAATAGACATTCAGCGGTTTCGTTGTTTCTAGCATTTACGTTTACCCTTCGTCTTTGGTCTAGAAAGTAGAATATCGAAAAAATGCCTTAAAATATAATATAGATATCGAAAGTTATAGGCATATACGGACAAAAATAAATCCGTTTGAAAATTTTGAGCAGAATACAAGGACATAACCACA